CCGGGGGGGGGACGGGCAGAAGGAGGCAGCACGTGAGCAGAGGGGGTGGCACGCGGAGGCAGGACGGTGGCAGTGACGTTGTGCCGTGGGCTGGCACCCCAGGCCTGGTGGCTCACACATAGTCTTTCATGGGGTAGCCTGTCGGGCTGCAGGCTTTATCCTCTCTGCACTTCTTGGAGTAGGCATCCTGTGTGCATGAGGGTCCCGAGAAGCACAGTATGGCCCCACCGAAAAGCTGGAGGGCACTGGCGATCCAGCCGATGTAGAGGGCAGACCCCAGCTCCCTCCTGAGGACCGCGGGCACCATGGGGTTGTAGACGTTGGTGAAGACGTTGCTGGCGCACCAGGAGACCGGGACGAGCACCATGATGCTGGAGGCGATGAAGATGACACCCGCCACGATGTCGAACCTGCTCGTGGGGGTCCCGTCCACACAGTTGATGTAATCCCGGCCCGACAAGGCGCTGAGGAAGGCGAAGAAGGCAGTGAAGAGGGAGGTGACCACCAGGGCTCGACTCGCTTGCAGGTCAGAGGAGACCTCCGTCAGGGAGGTGTAGCGCCTGCACTGCGACTGCCCCAGGCCTTCGTACGTGCAGGTCTCCCACAGCCCCTCCGAGTAGCCCTGGGACATGCCGGCGTTGGCACCCGTGAAGGATGTTATCTTCCACATGGGCAGGCCGCAGGCCAGGAGGATGCCCAGCCAGCCCACCAGGGCCAGTATCAGGCCGCTCCGCTGCATCCTCACTATCGCCATTGCCAGGACCTGCAGGGACAGGGCACAACCGTCACGGGCACGGCCCCAGAGCCACACGGGCTTTCTGGAGAGCGTGGCCTTCCAGCTGGGTGTGTCCGGTTCCCCAGATAGGGGGGAACGGCTCTGGACCAGCTCTAGACACACGTGGTGTGAGGGGTTGCTGCAGGACAGCATGGGGACCTAGGTGGCATGGGGCATCGCTGCAGGGTGATGTGGGGAGACCCAGGTGCTGAGGAGGCTGAGATGCAGGATCCCCCACATGTTGTGTACCTCGCTGCAATGCCCCCATGGCCCATCCCTCAGCCATCATCTCCCCATCCCATGTGGAAGACACCAGGGGGGCAGGAGAGGCAGCCCCCGTAGCACTGGTGGCACCAGCAGCTCCCTGTCCAAGGGCAG